GTTCAATGTATTTATATTATTTCTTATTTATTTGTCTTTATTTATTCCATGTAGATTTATTTCTTATTTTAGTTAATTGTCATAATTATTTATTGTTTCTGTTTTACTTTGTCTTTAAAACTAATTGTTGGTATTGAAAATTCATTCTGAAAGTAAAAACGAAATAAATAAGATGAATGAGACTATAGAACATGAAAATAAGTTTGTTTAATTCATTTAGTCTTTAATTTTGTTTCTTCTATTATTTTATTTCTATCTTTGATATAATTCATATTCATTTCTTTGTTTATTATAGTCATATTCATTTCTTTCTCATACTTTTTTATTAAATTTGTATGTATTATTTATAAACTAACTTGTCATAAAATATTCTTGTTTATATTTCTTTTATTTCATATTGTTTATTTATGACATTGAAATAACCTATGTTAAATTGTATTTCAAAAGATTATTTTCTTAATTATTCTTATAACCAATCAATTTTTAATCTTCTTGTATATTATTCTCTGTTTATTATTGTTATTGTTTCTTATTACTTCTTTGACTCTTTTATATTTCGTCTCTTCATTTCTTATAATATTCATTTAACTTTAAGTTTTTCTTACTCTTTACTTCTGTACTTCTTCATAACTACACTTTTCTTCATGGCTTTTTCAAAGCATCAACCATTGTCACTCTACTCTCCAGAAACTTTATCAAATTGGCTTTCATCATCATGTCTTTCCATTTTTTAGTTGCAGACGACTTCAATATGTTTACACAATGAATTGACGAGAGTCATAGAGAAGATGAGGAAGACATGTAGACAAGAAAGAGGAATAGTGAAAACCCAAAACAGAGACGAACAAGGTGAAGAAGAAAAGATAAGAACTAAATAAAAAAGAAAGAAAGAGAAAAATGAGTCACACATCAAGACAAATAGCAATGTTTTTCAACAGTAATTTTGACACGAAATTCAAGGATTTAGACTTTGCAAAACCAACCCCAACGATAGCACGACGGGTATTTAATGTATTAATGGGAGAGACTATGCAAATTAAAAAGCGAGAAAGAAACCGAATGCTTGAAGGAGCATGTCCAATTTCATTACCCAAATTAATTTACATTAAAGAATTAGGAGAAGTAATGGGGAAACTAGGGTACGAAGACTTTGACATTATTAATGATATTGGATTTGTGGAAAAACAACGATTTCTTAAGATGTGTGAGAGCATTATGGAGTATCTTGAAAAGCACAAAGAGTATGGAAAAAGAAAAGAAGAAATAATAGAAGAATATAAAGAAAAAAGAAAAGAAGTAGAAGAGAAAGAAGGGGAGTATAAAAGAAAAAGAAAAGAAAAGGAAGAGTTAATTAAACGAAAAGAAGGGGATCAACCAGAGATAGAAAGACATGAAAGAATAAAAGAAGAAGAAAAGAAAAAAGGAGAAGAAATTAAAGAAGAAATAAAAGAGATAAAAGAAGAAATTAATAATATAATAGAAAAAATAGAACAGAAAGAAAAAGAAAAAAAGATTAAAGAAGACAGCATTAAGAAAGAGAAAGAATATAATGAACGGAGTAAAAAAATTCAAGAAAATATAGAAGAAATTAAAGTACAAGAAGAAAGGATTAAAAGACTTAAAGAGGAAATTAATAACACCGAAAAAGAAAAAGAAAAGAAAGAAAGTCAAATCACGAGATATAATGCACTCAAACAATCATGTGTTGTTTGGAGGTCAAATCTTCAAATTGTTAAAGAAGGAATAGAACAAATTAAAAGGAAAGAAGAAGAAATTGAAAGAATAAACAAAGAAAAAAAAGAACGAAGTGAAGAAATTAAACACAAAGAAGATAAATATAAAGACTTAGAAGATAAAACAAAAAAAGAAGAAAAAGAACAAGCAATAAAAGAGGAAGAAAGAAATAAAATAAAAGAAAAAGTAGATAAAGAATTTACCCAATTTGAATTAGACACTTCTCAACTACATTTAATTTATGAAGATATTAACAAAAAAGTAGAAATAGCAAAAAGTAACAAAGCTACTATTATTGAAATAATTAAAGACATAGAAAAAAGAATTAACAATATTAAAACAACACACTTTTATATGGTTAGAGAATTACATGACCAACTTCTTCAACTTAAATCAATTCTTTCAACACTTGATACTTTAATTAATTAAATATTTAATTTAATTCTTATTAATTCATATAAATAATAAAAAATATAATACTAAGAAAAATAATGGAAGTTCAAATAAATTGTTTGCAACTAAACCAAGTTAATACTATTCATGACAAAGAAATTATTAATCTTTCTCTTATTAATAAGATAACAAAAGTTGAAATGTATAACTGTGATGTTATTGATAATATAGAAATGAAAGATGGGGTTGTTGTTTATGTCATTCAACAAGGAAAAGAAAGTGAATGGTTTTTTTCAACACGAAAAGGTAAATTTGAAGTATCAGAAGAATTAGGATATAAAAGAACAATTCTAGTTTCTATAGATTATCATCGTAGAGTTAATGACATAGAAGAAATTTATCAAGAAGTTAAAGAAATAGGCAATATATTAAAATATAAAGGATATAAAGGAGATATTCAAGTAATGACAGATGAAACAGGAATAGGAAAAAGAGAATTATTGTTTGAAGGAAAAAGTAAAATTAATGGAAAACTTTGGGTTGAAGAAACATGGAAAGAGGAAGGTGAAGGAAAGTATTCAAGAAAACTTATTTTTGAAGGAGAAAGAAGTTTAGTTCAATCTGAAGGAATTAGTATTAACAAAAAAATTGATATTGTAGAAAGTATTAAAGAAGTTCCATATTTTAAAGGAATTGTTTATGGAATATTTAATGAAGTGGGAGAAAATATTAAAGACATTACTATTATTGGTGGTGGTGTTCATATTTTAGCAAGTGGAATTAAACATTGGTGTAAAAATGCACATGTTGTTAGTGTTGAAATTGATGAAGTTGTTAATGAAGCAGGAATTAAATGTTTTAACACTGGAGAAGAGATAGAACGATGTGTTTGTGATGGAGTTGAATATATTGATAAAATAAAAACAGATTATATTATTATTGATGTTGATTGCAAAGTAAGAAATGAAAATGATATTGCAGCACCACATCCTAAATTTATTGAAGAGTCAATGATTGAAAAGATGAAATTAAGAATTAAAGATGTAAATGGTGGGATTATTTATAATATAGTTGCAAGAAATGATGAACAACGAAACAATTTAATTAATAAAATAAAAATACATTTTAATAAAGTTTATTTATGGGAAAATGATGAAGATGTTAATGTTATTTTATTTTGTTTTCTATCAAATAGTAATAGACTCAACTCATTTAATAATACCATTCTTGATTTTTATAATTCTATTACTCAAATTAAATAATTTATTGATTTTTCTCTTCCAATTAGCATCATTCATTCTTTTTTTAGTATTAGACATTATTCTTGTTTTTACCTTTCATCTTTTAAATTTCATTTATTTTATTCTTATTCGTCTTTATCATTAAATCATTCAAGAAAATCTCTTTAATTTAAAATGAATAAAAATAGTATTAAAACCCATTCTTTGAAATTAACATCCATTGAGTTAAATATTTTCCATTT